GAGGAATCTGCAAATTGTTTTGAGAAGGGAGGGGACCTTGTCGAAGGGGCGACATGGGAAGAAGTATACCGCTTATAAGTATAATTATACTGTGTTTGATTAGTGACAACACTCTCAGTTCCATATGTTTCTCGAAACTATTACAGTTAACACTCAATAGAGATGGCTTTGGCTTAAATGGTTAAACGATTTTTGATGTCTTTGGTTACTGTAGGATTATGGTATGAACTCTGAAAAAAGTCGAGCTTAGGATCAGTTTTGACTTGCAAATGGCTCCTCGTGTTCCAAATTCCGTCTAAGTCAATTAGAGCAGCGGAGAGGAAATCTCTAAGTATTTTCAAAATTTCTTTGAATCTTTCGTGATACTTCAATCGAATTTTACAGTGGGTGCACTGTGAGCTATTTTTTAATCTCCCCATAAAGACTACGAACTTTATGAAGTCAGCTTTTCAAAAACTGGCGTGTTCATTAAATCCATCACGAAAGTTTTCATTCAGGAAGGGTCCTACCGTATCCCCACCGTATTGAAATGCGATTGGTGTCTCGTTCTATAGGATGATTTTAAGAAATCACCTATATAAAATGTTGCCCAATAAACCTAATAGACCATTCTCGGGTCGTGGGGGAGAGGGGTAGAGTAAAGGAAAGAAAATACATTTGAATCCTCTTACTGGAAAACATTATGTTAATTCTCTCCAACGTATTTATGCTTTTCTCCAGTAATACATATGCGAAAAATAATTGGATTTTGCCGTACTTCATACCATTTCTTTGCGATTTTCAAGTATTCTTCGTAGATTTAACCCTCTTTCAGATCGTAAAGTACGAGACCGTGGGCACCTGTATATTCCGCTATGGTGTCGAACAAAAAGTGAAAATCAACGAGACTGCGATACGAAGTTATTACAAGTGAATCTGGTCAATTGGTGCTTTGGGTTTGCCTCAGACACTTTCATTCATTCATTCATTGTGCGTGTGATTGCTCTAAAAAAGGATTCGTGCCAACCGGCTTCACAAAATCACAGTTATCCTTTCACGCATTCGTCGATTAACCACACCAATTATCCTTGGATAATCTAACTATTCCTGACAGTCACTTCCTTTCCCGGCACCTTCCCTCATCTATTTCGTAGATTTTGTAATTACTATCTAGTAAAATATTTTCTAGAGAGACCATACTGGTGACTCTACGTGAAAACTCACCAACACGAGCCTCACGGTTTTGATTGGCAGTATCTACAGCTATTGTAATATATGTATCATCTAAATTACAATTAGTTTCGTTTATGGAGTTGGCATGGATCCTACTTATAATGCGAAGGGTACACTTACGACCATAGTTGCCCAAACGCCCTAGGCACCTAATTCATATTTTTTTCAGCTGGATTTTTGATTGTTAAGTATCCGATGTCCATTCTAATCGAATCGTTGTTGATCTGTATATTGTTTTTATGAGTTCCAACTCATCCGGTTGCAGACTATTGTGATTTTGCTTATACCTTGTATGCAAATAAAGCTAACTGACACTTCATATATTTTATTTCCATTCGTGATGGACAAACCGAAAACCCTTGAAAATAGCTCTTACTCAGTTGCATGATGGCATATAGTGGGCATAAGCCCATAGTGGCTAAATTACGACAAAACTTATAAGGGAAGGATACTTACTTAGGTTCGCCTTTTGAGACGAGATACATATATTGATATCAGATTTGAACGTTGATTCCAAATATGCTGTTTCTAGCCGCCGAGCGTTATTCTGAAGCAAGTTATGAGCTTGCTATTGTGA